ATGTTCAAATGAGGTGGGTAAAAAAATGGAAAAAAGTAAATAGCCCCTAGTATAAATATCAGCCTATTTATTAGTATCAATATCATAAATGTTGTATAAATATTATCATGGCAAATGGACCCACAGCTCTACTTTAGACAGCATATTTTTGTAGGCATTTCTGTCCTTCTACCTGTCTGCTGCCAATAAATCTAGGAACATACTTAGCTGTTGAGTAAAATCTCACTTGGTTTGCTCCAGAATACAATATCTACTTCATAAATCATATAATGTACGTCTGTTGTTTGAAGAGCGTTTTGATGTTTAAATAAAAAACTAGGACTGTACTGAGGTATGAGATACAACAATAAATATTATCTGTCTAGTATTTCTTCCAGCTATGGTTTCAGAACAAAGACCTGAGTGTACAATCTCTTAACATGTTGAATTCCAAAAACCACACTTGCCACCCCGACAACAAAGCAATTCCTGTGCATCTCTCCCAACTCCTCACTTCCATTCGGCCTGTCTTTGAACACCATCCTGGAAGAGGAGCAAAATGCTGAAGGAACCGACCTGTGTTCAAGTGGGGGGGTGGGGGGTGCTGATTCAAGAGCTTGACCCAAGGAGGTTTCAAGATGAAGGAGGCTGGGCCACAGCAAAATTCTACAAAACCCAGGAGTTCTGGAGCAAACCATTCTAACTCTTTATTTCACTGGGGCTTCCCAGGAAGCTGGCCATCTCAACCCATAACCTCATTAAATCAAGAGTCCTGGGCTGGTGTTGTCCTTTAGGCTCCTACCCTCTAAGCTCGCTTCCCAGAGAAGAAGCCTCCTCAAATCTAGCACTTCACATTCCTGGATGGCCAGAACTGAATTTGTCCATGAACAGCTTAAATCTAAAGGTTTTAGCACCAAAGTTCTGAAGGCTAATCTATCAGGTTTATCTCTGCTAATTTCTAGACAGACCGTTCATCTCTATTTCATTTTTATAAATAAATAAATAAATAATAAATAAAGTGGTTCTAAATTAGAATATCATTCACAACAAATTATTGTCTTTCTCAAAATGCCATTGGATTGAACTGGATACAACCATGAACTATAAACGGTTAGTCTCATCTACTGTGTCACGGTCACAACAACAACCCCCCCCCCAAAAAAGATGTTCTTTAGGTTGTCAACTTGCTGAAACATAAAAATAACGAGAGTCCATTTATTGCTGTGAAACTGCATTTTAATTCAGCCATAAATATCCATTTGTCACAACTATCTTTTTAAGTAAAACAACTCAAATGGAAGCAGATTTGTAAAATGAATGTTGGGAGTCAGAGAGAAATTTGGGGCTGAGTGGTTGTTTGAAGGTATGTGTATCAATGCAAACTGCAGGCAGTCACAGAAAAGGGGGAAATGCTTCCCAAAAATATTCCTGCATATTGGAAAGATGCTATTCTTTTTGTCAAAAAAGTTTTCTATTTACACCTGTTTCCTGAGAGATGCTTCCAATAAACTGATTTGCCTTATCAGCCATGTCAGATTCAAGCAGCAAAATACATCAATCCATGCTGGATTATATGCTGACAGAAAGTGGGGCTCCCTGTGCTTCTGAACACACAGGTGGGGAAGACCCATTGTGAGAATTACTTCCAACCAAACACACACAGCTTTATGCCCAGGCTACAGTTCTATCAAAGTTCAAGGATCTGTCTGTCAAATTTTTCAGAGAGTCCACTTTAAACCATAAACTGATTAATCATAAACATAAACTGAATGTTCTACATACTCTAACAATATCATGCCAAACTGCACGGCGAGAAATGATCTGATTACAGCCTTCACCGTGTTTCTGCAGACACTGTTTTTGCCTTATTTACTATATTCTTGGACCGTCAATGCAGAAACAGTTGTGTGAGCAACTCCTATCTCTCTCCTTCCAAACAGTATCTCCTGTTCCAACTGACCGCCGTCCTCTCCAACCATTCCAAAAAAGAGAAGGTAAACAGAAGGATGGCGTTAAAATTCCCCAAGTCTAACCCAGCTTTTTAAAGTAATCAGTAAAGCAAGCCAAAATTATTAATGGGCAGGGATTATACAGCCTCAAATAGGGGAAAGCATTAGCAACAGTTTGGTAAATCTTACCCAAAGTTTCTCACACAGCTGTCTGAAAAAAAGAAAATCAGGGAATCCTTAGAAAGGAAGTGCCAGTCCCCCAGTCCACCCCTCATGTAAGTTCCACTAGTGTGGCTTTTTTTTTTTTTTTCTAATTAAACCCACTCCCACACCAAAACCGACCCCACCAGGGTGATGCCCTCAGACTTCACTTTCAGCTCTAAAACAGAAGAGGAACGTCCTCCTTGGACAGGCGCTCCATTTCCCCAAATGTGGATTTCCAGGGGACCTCTCTGTCTCAGCTCCCTGACCCCTGAAGACAGGCATGAAGTTGGGGTGTGGTCAACACACACACAAGCACATCTTGTTTGCCTTTCTCTCCTCTTTGCACAGTTACTGACTCGCAAAGGGAAAACACTTCCAGATCGCCAAACGCTGGATTAGATCTACAGAGGATATCAGAACAGCCTGAGAAGCGAAAGTTTGGTGGTGGGAAAGCTCACTCGCTGCTAGATTTCCCTCCCAGGATCCTAAGGTAGCAAAAGAGCAGAACTTCACAGGATTGGACAGGGCCCCCGAGGCCACTAAGCCCAGCCACCCCCGTGGCAGAGGTGGCACTTGCAGCCTCCCCAAAGACGTGGATGGATGCCCACCTCCTCTGCTTGAAGGTGTCCATGAAAGGAGATTCATCACAGCTTTTGGGAAGGGATCGCACCAGCACACTACTGTCACTGCGGTGCCTTTTTTCCTTCTTTACCTCTCCTGGATCCACCGAAAGAGGTGTCGAAATACATTTGTTCCAAAAAGTTCACGGGCACCTGAGTCTCAGAGGAACACAGAGTTTTAGCCATCAAGTGAAGGGAGGGAAAAGAATTGCCTCGCTTGCTTATAAAAGAATTGCACAGAAACAAATCTTCATCTGTCGTTGGAAAACAGGCCTTTTCCTTTGTTTGCCCGTAAATAATTCAGTTAATTAAAGACGAGGCATGCAAATCTGACAGGCCTACTGCGTCCTACCGTCTCCACCTGTTCTCTTCTTACCATTTTACTTCTCTTCTTAGTCGCAGCAGATAAGATGCATCAGGATACCTGCGAGGCACGTACTGCTGTTCAATTTCAAATAGGTTTATGAAATGCTAAACCAGGAACAGACGTCTCTGTGCGGCTGTACATACACCCCTGAATATTTTGCTGCTCTTAGTCTGGTTATATTAAGCATCCCTTAAAACAACTCAGTTTAAAATGAAACTGGAATTCCATACAGTAAGAAATACTCAACTTCTTCATTCATTCTCTTAACAGTGAAGCAGGGTAAAATATGTGTAACTTTCTGGACCAAAGTAGTATTAATAAGATATAAATGTGGGCATTGTTACATTAATTAGACCTTTAATTTTAATCCCAAGGAAAACCCTTCTATCCGGGAATTATCTGTCTTTATTAAGGCAGTGAGCTCTCCGTCTTCAAAGGCAGTCTTGCTGACATGTGTGAAAAGAGAGACGTATACAAAATCTTAAATGCATATTTTACAGCCTGTCTCTATATGTGCATAAGGAGTGTATGAATTATATTTCTCAACATTACACAGGCCACAATTCTCACAACTGAGTAACCTCTGGCTTGTTAAAACACCTAATTGGTATGCATCTTAGGCAGAGACTTTGTAAAATATTACATATCCGGTTTTTGCAGTTTTTCTCCATGGGGCGAAGCAGCCTTTTTGACCGCTCTTTCGTTCAATCAACCCCAGCCTTCGGAGGCTGTCCCTGCCTCCATGCTGGCCCCTCAGCTGTTCCAAAACCACCCCCTGTTCCATGCCCCGCGCTTTCTAACCCACCACCCAAGGGCCCCGGGCACGGGTCGGGGGAGAAACCCCCCGCGGGAATTCTGCAGAAGGCCTCCACGATCTTGGAGGCTTCGCAGAGGCATCACCACCGACGACCGACCGACCGACCGACCGACATGCTCGGCGCGCAGCGAACGGATTTATCCATCCCACCCCCGAATTGTCCGCCGGTTCTCCAAAACTGCTCCAAATCAGGATGGTCCCTGGCCAGACACCCGGGTCAAGCAGCCAGCAGGAGCTCTCGAGCCGGTCTGAAAAGGCACGGATTCCGCCCAACTTTCTCTCCATCCGCTGCCGTCCAACCCTCGTGGCGAAGGAGGACCCGAACAGGCTCGGCTAAGCGGCCGTGGCGGAGCATCCTCCGGGGGTGGTAACACAAAAGCGGGGGCAGCGGCAGGACAGCAGCAGAAGGGGTCAAGCCCGGCCTTCGCCTCGGCCTCGGCCTCGGCAGAGCTCGCTCGCTCGCTCTCGCCCGCCCCTTTCTAAGCGCAGAAAATGAAGGCAAACGCGGGTGTTTGGGAAAGGCTTTGAAGGGATCCGCGGCGCAAGGATGAACACTTGAAAACTCAGCTCGGAAGCTGGCCGCAACTTTACCCCCACACGCGCGCCCCTTCATCGCAGCGAACTCCTCCGGCTTCTG